TAGAAGCGTTTGAAATATGGTGCTATCGGAGAATCTTCAAAATCCCTTGGACCGCACATATCAGCAATGAACGGGACCAAGACAGCTGAATAAGGACCGAGAACTTCTGAACTCCATAAAAGTAAGAAAGGTTAATTATTTCGGACATATAATACGAGGTGCCAAATATCACATCCCTCGCCTGATCATCCAGGGAAAGGTTAAGGCAGAAGATGGATAGGTCGCAAAAAACTGTCATGGCTACGAAATATTAGAAATTGGACCGGACTGGGAGTGGAACAACTATTCCAAATAGCGACAGATAGAGAGCAATTTAACCAGATTGTCATTCGAAGTAAGAGTGCGAATAAATAAAGATGCTGAAGAAGAAGAGGCGACACCATTGCGCCTCTGATTAATTCTCGAGTTACAACGTTGCCGTCGGCAGAAGGTTTTCGTATTGTCAACTAGAAAACGTACAAGGAATTCTCATGGAATTTTTTCTACTATCTCTGTTTTCATGATAAAGTAATTAATTTTTAGTATTTGCAAACTATTTTTCCGTGAATAACGCTACCTTCATCAAAGATAATCAAAACTCAAAAACGATAACCTACCTACTGATTCAATTAGCCGATTCTTGAGTTAGTTTTAATTATTAGATCAACCCTCGAAAACTTCAAAACAAATATACTTACTAGAAAACCCCTCTATACAAAGTAGAGGTATCGCGGGATAAAGATCTGAAACGAAATGTTCGAGCCCCTAATGGTTAATGTCATTAATAGAAAGTTTTGTGATAAGCGATCTGTGTGTCTCGCAAACTAACCCCGAAAGTCAAGTACAATTTACTTTTTCCCTATATTGTAATGTATTAACTCACGCGTCGTTCGGCCATTTCCAGTGTATCAAGTTTCTATTTTCGTTCGAACTGATTTTTATCGACAATAGGAAACTTTTATGCCGATATTTTGAATTTGTGTGTAATAACACACAAATAATTAGGTGTTGTTGCAAAACAACTCAATTTTCCTATTAGGTACACTGTACTTGCATAACAAAAATTTTTATATCATTTTTGCGGCCTTAACATAAGTTTTATTTGCCAACTAGCCGAGTAATTTTTAAGTGGATAGACATGTCGTATTTGGGATACACGCGTCGCTATACCCGATACCGCATAGCCTATAGTCGAAGGTTAATAGGTACGATGATAAAACAACCGGTGGCGCGTTATCGTTCTTCGTGTAACTTTCATTAAAACACATAAAATACATTTTATTTTAGACGACGTACATACGACATAGGAAAAAAAACACGACATCAAACTACAATGTGTGTGACATCAACATTAAAAACTACTTCGAACAAAGGACAATAAATTTATATTTGTTTTATTGTTTGAACTGTGTATTATTGTGGTGAGACTCAAAACTATGCCGAAACATACTTAACTTATTATGGGAGAAAGAGAAACACATGATTAGACATAGGAAAAGACAAAAGCAGACAATTTATAGCGAAATCTACAAAGTATTGGAAAGAGAAACACAAATCATAAAAATATAGTACAAAATAAAGATGACATCATTGAAGCAATAGAAATTTTCTATAATAGTGTATTTACTGAAAGTAATCGATGTCTAACTGAAATTAAAGATGGCGAAATGTATAAAACATGGAAAACATCAGATGCCCAGGGAAACAAAAAATGTTGCCACTAAGAGAGAGCTACAAAATAATTTTTAAGTTGTTAGTTAAATGTCTTCAAGACACTAAAATTCCAATGAACTATTTTGTCTTCGCAAAAATATCCTGAATATGACGTATCTCTTGACAGTCTTGACACATTGATTTCCGAATAAGATTTCATACCTTCGGTGAGAACTCCATATTATTGCAATCCGAAACTATAAAGTCTCTTCAAATCAGTTTGAGACTTTACATATTTGACTTGACATTTTCTCCAATAAATTTAGAACTTTTATGAGCTTCTATAGTTAACGTTAAGAGATTATCAGTAGAAGCCCTGGTGTTGTGAAATTATAATAGTTTAGGAGCTTGGGTGACCGTCCAGCACGCTATAATTTCTTCAGAGGCCTCATTAACTCACAAAGTTACTGTGGCATGTCCGCAGGAGTCATCAGTAATTTAAGATCCAAATTATCAAAAGTGATAAGTGTCTTAAGTTTCATAAGACTATTCCTGATTTATATTTAGAGTATTTTAGACCTTTCGCGCACACTACAGATCATTGGGAAGCTATCAATTAGACCTTCCATTTCCACAAACTGGATGGACTAACAATGGTATCACAAAAACTATTGATGAAAACATAAATGAAATGAAAAAGATTGAAGATGTTGATGATAATGAATTGCCATCGAAATCACCAATGACCGACTATAATTAATGATAAATAAATTTGACCAAAAAAAACTAACTACTTAATGTCATTATGAACATTTAACTAGATATTTACGAGCGAGGCAATCGAAAACCCCTAATATTGCCGTAGGTTAGAGCGAAAAACGCTACCGGTATATTTAATTGCCTTCCACTTAATAAATCCGTTACTATACAGAAATCAATATGTTAAGCCGATAGATTAGAATATATTAATGCATAGCTGCCGGTGCGCCTGCATACATTTCTATTTGTCTATATATCGGCAATAAATTTTAAAATTTATCTCGTCAAAAAGGTGCCACGGTTTTGTCGTGGTCTGTTGGGCAAACCGGGATTATCATACACATTCTCTGCATAACCTGAAACATCTTTTTTTTAATTTGAATATTCTTTTAAGAATGTTGATTATTATTGATGTGTAACGTCTTAAGACTATTTTCTCCTAAGTATCTTTAAGCTATAAAGTTGTAGCCTACTACAAGACTATGCCTTGCCTTTAGCTTCTCATTTCTTTCAAAATAAAGTGTAAAGAGAGAGTGAGAAAAGCTATGTCTATGATTAATTCACATGAGGGACTACTGGAGAGTATTCGATAATCATTCTCAAAAGAGTTCCAAAATTGCCACAGGATTGTGGTAAGCTAAACATAAAATCGAAACTAACCGAAGATGAAAGTGGAACTACATTAATAACAAAGTTACTGTCAACTTTGGTAGTACTATCTTCGTCCGAAATCAAACGAATTATTTCAGTGTAGGTACCACTTACTGAACTGAAATCATTCGTAATTCTTCGTCCACTATCTAATGAAAGTAGTTCGGATGGAAACAGAAACAAATAAGGATTTGAAATTTAATCTTTGGCAGCTGATATCTTGGTGTTAAATGCCTGTTTTTCAGGATCTTACATCCACCTTTGGTGTCAGACTGCCCCTTGGTATATAATAACGACAACGCATGTCAACCTGGTCAAACTTCCGTCGGACTTATAACTGTTTCACACATAGCTCCGGAAATATCGGACAGCATAATGGCATCCACATTCAGGACAGCTGTAATTCAGTAATACGTTATGTGAATACGATGTGAGGCAAGTTTGTGAATATATGTAAATTCTGCAACATGGATACTTAGATGAACGGCTGAAAAGATTCTCCAATTGAGCATTGGAAATAGAAACTCGGTTTTTCTCTTACTGCTCTGTCTTATATTGTCTCAGACTTCATCTCCAAAATACGGAGTTGCGAAGAAATTCAAATCATTGTTCGAAGAACCCACTCTAGGGTGAATATCAAAATAAAAGTTGAAAAGTTCTCAATCAGAAAAATTAAATGATCACCACCGGGTTGATAGAGATTGCCCATTCGAGTTACAAGAAACGACTGATGGACTTACGTTAACAATAAGCTGTCATTTGAGGAGGGTAACTCAAACTCATACTCTTTATTTAGTTGGCATTTGTGGTCTACTCTAACTCCATCGTCCAAACCTGACTCTAATTTCATAAATGGTATAACATTATCGCTTGGAAACTTCGACACCTTCACTATAAATTGGCGTGAACTATTAAGACGTTTAACTCTAGCAGACAATGTGTAATATTAATGGTGATAAATTTATTAATATCTGCGTTCTTGAAACTTGAAATCGTATTCGTGAGCTTTTACGGGAATTTGAAAGAAGTACTTACAAAACGGCTCCATACAGAGCATTCATGAGCCAAAGCGATCTTCGACTCAGAAAACCCATGATAACGAATTTGCACCAAATTGAATTTAGAGTAACAAAAGTAGTCTGACTATTGGACTTTTTAGCTGAATTATTCCAGTTGCGGTATCATTTTCGTAATAAGAGTAGGTATATTGTATTTGTTTACCTATAATAGGAGGAAAAGTTGAACATTCCCGGAAGAGAGTAAAGATTGCATGTCCAGGACAGAAATTATCACAATCAACAAGTTTCCAAAACTTCTACACCATAAGTTTGAAGTTAAAAAATCTCAAGCCTCCCAAATTTTTGTAAAAGGATCAACTACGTCCACCAAAGTGGAGATCTTACTATTCCCATCAAGTGAAGGAAAGTAACAAATACACGCAATAAGTAGTTGAAGATGAATAGATGGAAACGTTAAAAACTATACAGGAATCCGTGCGGCAGTTTCACTATCAAATGAGAAAAACAGTTTCTTAGAAACTTAGATCGAATTCTTGGATTAGGTAGGTACCTTTGTACTGAATGTCTATGAGACGTCTACTGAAGTGAAGAAGCCACTGTCCAAATTAAATCTATGGTAATCCTATGCACTCTTGTTATCACTGTGAAAATGGAGCAACAATAATATCCTGCATGTTCAATTATATCTACCCTCTTTCAAGCAACAGAAAGAAATAATGAAGAGTTAACATTGATGTCTGAAAAACGCAGAACATAGAAAGTTCCATCATCTGTTGAAGTCAATACTTGAAGAAATGTTTTACCTCAGATAGTGTAGAGTTAACCTTCTTTTTCTAAAGATGAAGCAATACTATAAAAAGCCAACATTGGTAGAGCTGGGGTGAGTTGTATCTATTGTTAGTTTTTCCAACACCATCTGGGTCTGAAGTCTGAACTTACCATCATCTTTCGGTGAAGGCGGACAATTCGTCGGATACGATCCTAAATGATATCCCGTATAAGAATTTTGATGCATAGGAGGAAAAGGATAAGCCCCCAAAGCCCCCCTGGGACTAGGAAACCCCGTATCGTGCGAACCGGGAGGTCCGGAATGTGCATTTCCCGCTGGCGAATTAAAATGATGTTGATACGACGTCCTCAAAGGACCGTAGCCGTGTTGTTGGAGTTCGATGAATGCACTTTTCGAAACCGGAGTCGAGTTGCTGGAGTCGTGGGGCGTCGGAGGGCCCAGGTGGGCTTCGCCTGACATCGTCGGTGTACCCGGTGGTTCCTCGTTGTGTCCCCCGAACGGGGAACCGAGGTCTGTGAAGTTTAACGTTGTGAAGGGTTTGTGTTCCACTTTGATAAAGTTTGGAGGCGTCTTGGATGAACTGGGATCAACCCAGTAATGCACTATAACATAAACTAGAAGACACTTAATTTGTCACTAACAACCAATGAAGGCACAGCGTAATAATTGTCACTAATTTGTATCACTAAAGTTTTGAGACCGAACCGGCAAAAAAAAAATAAAGTCCCGATAAGTAAACAAATAAAATCGCTATTAAAAAAATATCCAAATTAGTTTAAAGAGTTAATAACGTTAATCAAAAGACCCGAAAGCAATTTAGTGTATTCAACTGCGATAATACATGTAATTCACACTATAATTGAGTAAAAACTATTTGAAGATTAACCCGAAACCAAATTACACGAAATTGAGCGCATATGTCGTTTTTTTTACGTCGAAAATTGATCGTTCGAAACCAACCATCTACTTCCTACGAGCGTAGGGACTATAATGAAGAATAATCATATAATAGTTAGCTTGGAACGATTAGTTGCACCTTTTCGCCGTCAGATTGCGCTACTATTCAGCGTTACACAGTCGTAAACGCCGCCTTTAACGTTTTCCATTGGTTTAGAATAACGTTACAGGGTTGCAAGGACTTATTATTAACCAGATTCGAGACCAGATAGGCGGAGCGTGCGTTTTATTTTCTGGGTATTATCACGCCCTTGTAGACTTGCAGGCGCTCAATTTTTAGGTTAAGTTTAGCCGCAGAGACCTCTCTCGTATTTAGGTATTTTGGCCGTTTTATTACATATTTGGCGATGGTCATGAACGGTTTTGTAGAAATAGTGCCAATGACAGTGAGATTAATCTAATAAATTGATAGTGTTTGATGGAAATGTGACTCATTTGGATGCAAAGTGGATTATTGATGGGGAATAGATGCGTTATCCGAAGGAATTATTCCTTGTCCCTTGTCCTAAGTGCTCCTCAACTTTCCTTTCAAATGATGTATCATTTTCTGTTACTTCAACAGCAACGTTAGGTTATCTGTCACTGTTTATGCTGTACGTTAAAATAGAGACAGCTATAACATGGCTGTTAAAATAACAGGAATGGATTCCTACATAATAAGCTTGATTTTTTTTTTCCCACAAAAAGTAAATAGTTACTGGGTATTCACTTATTTCGGGATGCAGTATACCCACTTATCTACAACCTGAAAATATTTAAAATTTGAAACTCAAAATAGATCAAGGAAATTAGGAGACTGTTCACCAGGCCCTTATTCTCGAAACAGGGGAGCAGCGTTCTCATGAGAAGGAAGGTTCTGTCTTAGTCGCCCATATTCATATTTCCATAAGAATAACAACGACAGAGCAATCATACTCGTGAGAACGCCGATGGTCCCCGCCGGTTTCGAGAATAGACACCCTGGAGAAACACAGTTTAGAATTTCCAAGTGCAAGATCAGCAGCGAGACAAAAAGTGTTTTCATTTTCTTCCGGCATGGTACATGTATCTACCACATTTTTTCAACCGCATTACACGCGTCAAAAAACTTACGTCATTACACACGTTCGGTCAAATCGACCGACTGCCCAAAAGTTTACATGGATTATTAGCTTTTTTCGCGGAGACGGTCCCAAACGTATCCTGAACGCTAAGGCATGACCTACGCAGGTTTACTAATCGATCGAGATATGAAACTTTTAAATATACCCTGCGTAAGTCATACCTTAGCGTTCAGGATACGTTTGGGATCGTTTCCGCGAAAAAAGTGTACAAGCACTATAATTCCTAGAAGTCATAATCATTACAAAGGGAATTATATTATGCAGAACAGTAACCGTATTATCGATAGCCAAATAAAGTACTCCCAATATCAGAAAATGCCAATTTTGAACACAAATATTTTAGATACTCAGGTTCACGCACCTAGTCAAAAGCACCTACTATGAAAACAACGAACTATACTTCAACCATAGAAACTAAAATATTTTTGGGCCAATGGGGAGTGGAAAACCTGCATCAGGCATTCCTGGATGGACAAAACTGCCACCCTTGTACCAGTGGCGTAATTACTGATTTTATCAATGGTCGGTCTTTTTGACCGATACGGGCGATACGCGTGTGCTCCCGGGTTAAATTTCCACCAGTGGCCTGCGTACGAAATTTGATCTGCCTATTTTGGCAGACAATGATAGTACGCCACTGATTTCTCTTAAAATAAAAATTATTTTTGAAATCTCCAATTATTTCCAAAAAAATTTTTTTTTAAAGATAAAAGTCAAAATGACATTATGTTGGCAATACAATGTAAAATTGTCAATGCTTTCAAATTTTTTATGTAGAAAAGGCTTGTGTTGCCAACATAGTTACTAGATTTTTGACTTAGGGCATTATCTTTAAAAAAAAAACATACTTTATAATGTCTGCCAAAATGGGCAGGTCAAATTCCGGACGAACGCCACTGGTAGAAATTCAAAAAAATGTGCTTCATCAAAAAATGCCTCTTGTATGCATGTACTGGCATACATGTATGCCAAAGGACCCCGCAATATTTAAATGGAAATTGGTTACCCGTGATATTTGGATGAAATTTAAATATGTTATTGGGGATGCCGTAAGCAACATTTTTTACCGCATGGACACAATCCTGTATATATGACAAATGAGGCGTGGTTAGCTGTCAAAAATTGGAATCTTATATCCAAAAGCAGAGTAACTATGGTAGATTTTAATGAACAAAAAATCTATTCCTACTAAGTCGACCAAGTCGAAAAATGTCAACCATTTTGACACCTGTCAAAACCCTGCCAAACGGCAGCACTCATCTTTTCCAGTTTTCAATATTTTATGATGTCATTTGACATTTTTAACTTGTATGTAAATTCTGAATTCAAAAAAATGACATCATTGTAGATTTCATTTGTAAGTGTCAAAATGTTTGAGTACTTTAATGATTTCATTATAGTACTGAGTACTATAATGACTTTAATTAAATAAAATCCCTTATACAAAAACTACATAATTTAAAATGAAAATTGATATCTCTGTCAAAATCTGAACCTGCGTATGTTTTTTCATGCGTTATCATAAATAAGCCTAACTTAAATTGGAAAAGAACTATATTTGATTCTTTTTTGAATTAAAGCTATTGACAGATTCTGACAGCTGTCAAAATGTGACGTGCATGAACTTTGTTCAATGTTTTATCACCAATAAACTACCTTGAAACGAGAAAGAACCAGATTGGAGTATTTTTTTTCTACTAAAACAAATAACAGGTTTTGACAGTTCTGTCATTTTTTTTTTCAATTTTTGAATTCAGAATTTACATACAAGTTAAAAATGTCAAATGACATCATAATATTGAAAACTGGAAAAGATGGATGAGTGCTGCCGTTTGGCAGGGTTTTGACAGGTGTCAAAATGGTTGACATTTTTCGACTTAACTTGGTCGACTTAGTAGAAATAGATTTTTTATTCATCAAAATCTGCCATAGTTACTCTGCTTTTGGATATAAGATTCGAATATTTGACAGCTAACCACGCCTCACCTGTCATATATACAGAATTGTGCCCATGGTAAAAAATGTTGCTTACGGCATCCCCAATAACATATTTAAGTTTCATCCAAATATCACGGGTAACCAATTTCCATTTAAATATTGCGGGGTCCTTTCATTAAAACATCTAAAGTATGGTGTTACAGATATTAATAATAAATGATTTATTTTTGAAATCTTTATCACCCTGTTTCTCAAAAGCTAACACGTTTAGGACATACGTTCATAAAAAGTTTTCTTCTTAAAATGGACCCGAAAATCGCCCTCTTTAACATTGACATTCAATTAGAAAACACCCTGTATATACCTACATCTACAAATTTTCTAAAAATCTGGTCGTTTACTTATTTATCGAGGGAGGGAAATGTTTGTTTCCCAGGTTACTTATTCTTGAAACAGGGGAGCAGCTTTCCAAGAAGAACGAGTGTTCTGTCTCTGTCACTTACATTCTCATTTCATTTGCATATCATTGATAAAGATGGAACACTCGTTCTTCTGGGAACGTTGATTCCCTGTTTCGAGAATATAAGGACCCAGGGAGGAAAAGAACATTTTCTTTTCTTGTTTAGGAGTCGAAAATGACGTTTTCTGGTGAGATAGCAATAAAAATACTGTTCCTCCCCAAAAAGAAAAAGAACAGGTACAAAACTCCAGATATAGAAAATCTATATCTTATAATGCTATACCTATGAGTAGGTATATCTTGATATCGTCTTCTTTTATTTATTGGTTTCGCATTTAGTAAGTCCTATTTAATTTTTTACTAGACTACTGGTAGTACTTCTACTAATGTTGATTTCCTCCTAAAGAAGTAGGTGGATAATTATCAATATCATCAATATGGATCTATATATATAAATCCCAAGTAATAGAACCTAATCGTTCCGTAATAAAAGCTTTTTGTTCAAAATTTGGAACGGTTCTGGGATTGCGCAGAACTGCTTGCGCACAATAAATAATGTAGAACCGTTGTAATACTAGTTCTGAACCGATTCGCAAAATTCCAAAACAGTTCCTCCTTCAGAGCAAGAAATGTTCTAAAACAATCCCAGAATTGTTTTTATAGAGTTCTAAATAAACCAATACGCTGTTCACACAGTTCGATTACGATTCTGAAAAAACGAAAACGCGCGTTTCATACCATGCGCATGTGCAGAATGATTCCGGACTTATAGTTTTGAGTGAAACCAAAACAAAGCTATAGCTATTTATGTCACTAGGCTAAGAAGTGCATTTTTTTGTGCTGAGCTCAAGGTTTGAAGGCACTTTTTTCCAATTAGTTAATTAACTCAGTCACGCTGGGGCTGCGTTGATTTTCATCAGATTACATTCTTTTTTCAAATTGAATTATGTCATTTTATTAAAAATGCATAGGTATCTGCTGTATTCCTAGTTGTAGAAATACGGGAAAATCCAAATTTCAGACTCACCGTTTTCCGAATAATCAGGAGATAAGTTAGAAAAATCTATAAGGTTGGAAATAATTAACTATACCTATATTTAAATCAATTATAATGTCAGTTAAAAGTATTAGCAATTTGTTAGTT